AAAAAAAAAAAAAAAAAAAAAAAATCAATCAGCAGAGCAGTGATTCACGAACACATTAAAACAAAGAGCGAGGGACAAATCGAAAGTGACTACAAGCAAGAGACGATGAAACGAAAACAAATCCAAACACCAGAGTTCAACCTTGATCGCAGAAAAACGATAAGATTCATGCGATAGATAACAAAATGAGGATGAAATGGCAAAAACAAACAAAAAAAAAACAGAGAGAGAGAGATACCTGATGAAGAAGATCCACAAGAAAATCTCCGGTTTCAAGGAAGTTGAGAAGAAAAGAGTAATGGCGAAGTGTGAGGTTCGGATAATGAAACCTAACGGAAGGCGAAGGTCATAAAACTGTGAGACCCGATTTTATCTCTCTTTTCTTTTTGTTTTTCGGACCTCTTCACCGCTCCTCATGTTTTTGTCATTCTTCCTTAGTCTACTAATTCCTTATTATTGTTTTTATTTATATATATATATATATATATATGTATAATTTTATATATCTTTTTAAAAAATCAAAATTAACCCTTCATTTTAAAATAATATTATTCGATCTAAAAAATATTTTTACCATTAATTTAGAACGAAAATAATTATTATTTTGTATCAAAAATACACTTAAGCTTTTAAGAATATACATGCATAGGTATTTTTTAAACTTAATTATTTATTTATTTTTTTAATTAGAAGGTTAATTAATTAAAGTTTTTAAAGTTTAAAAATATTTTTAAGAAGTTGAAGGGTATTTTTGAGAATAATATTAGGCTGTCTCTATCCCATTCATCCAGAGTATGACTTTTTTTTTAATTTAAAATATTATTAAATTTTTTTAATGGAATATTCTGTTTTTGGATAAATAAAAGTTTAAAATATTTTTATTAATTTAACCTTTTAAATATTAAAACAAACGACACATCATGTGCATTTAATAATTTTTTATTTTTAGGCGGTTGCATTTCTCAAATTCGAATTTATTAATCATCATTTTAAATTAAAATTAACTATTAATTTTTAAAATATTTTTATTCTTTTTTAAAACAATAACGTTGTGATACGTGGAAATCACTATAAGGGGAGTAAGATTCGGATTATCTTGTTGATCAAATATCTCAAGACAAGAACATTATTTGAGATTCGAATCACTCCACAAGCAAGATCAATCATGTCTAGCTTGAATGACTCTTGTTGATCAAATATCTCAAAACAAGAACATTTGATTGAGATTTGAATCACTCCACAAGTAAGATTGATCATGTCGAGCTTGAATGATTCTACCTGCAACCTAAACTACATAGAATTGCAAACAAACTTAGTCATTGGCTAAAGAAATGACAAATGCTTCCTTTACTATATTTTCCAAGTCTGCTTACAAATAAAGCCATCATTGGCTAAAGAAATGACAAATGCTTCCTTTACTATATTTTCCAAGTCTGCTTACAAATATAAGCTACATGGCTTTATATAGCTTCAAAATGAAACTATTAAAGACATTCCGTAACATTCAGACTTAATGACCATAATTAGCCATTATGTAAATGTAACCTAAAGTAAATAAAATGTCTTAAAATACAATAACTCTAAATTACTCTAAATTGTAACCCACCCAAAATTTACAACAATCAAAGTTTATTCTTCTTCAATGTAACATGAATTGAAACATCTTTTAATAATTTTGACAACCTTTTCTTCACATCTTCATTAAAGTATATTGTATGATTGATATCTCTTGGTTCATATCAAAAACCCTTCTTATCTGCCCGCTAAATGCAGTGCCAATAGACGGCACCGTTCTTGTAGCCAAATTTCATTCTCCAGCCAAAAAACCTCGAACGAAAGCTTCCCATAATTGCTGTTAACACCAAATAATGTTGTCTGCAACAAATTCTCTATGAATTCCTGAATACCTAGCTGTATTCCTGTTTGAGGAGGAGAATATGCTCTCCTTTGAGTATAAGCTCTCATCCCTTTGCTTTGGGCTTACCAATGGATAGAGTATTATTTATTTATAAACCCCTGATCATTTTCTAAAATAGCCGATGTGAGACTTTCATCATCCAACACCTCTCCTCGAACGAAGTGCGCCTCCCCTTAATCGAATCTCGACTCCTTTGAAGTCTTAGTCATTTTTTACCACGTTCAAGGAGACTTGACTCTTTTTCTTTTGGAGTCCTTTGTTCGATATTTAAAGATAGATTTTCTTTTTCTTGTATTTTTAATTACAAGAATTTAGTTATCGTAATTAAAAAAAAAACAAATAACTATTTGTTTTTTTTTTTCTTTTTAAAAAATATTCTGGTTTTTTAATCATTTTTTCAATAAATTTCATTTTAAAACAAAACAAATAAGGGCAGTTGGTATTTAGTGTATTTTTAAAATATTTATGAAAATCAAAAGCAACTTGATAGGAACCAAGAGACATCTATCATACAATATACTTTAATAAAGATGTGAAGAAAAGGTTGTCAAAATTATCAAAAGATGTTTCAATTCATGCTACATTGTTGAAAAAGAATAAAGTTTGATTGTTGTAAAATTTGGGTGGGTTACAATTTAGAGTAATTTAGAGTTATTTTAAGACATTTTATTTACTTTAGGTTACATTTACATAATGACTAATTATGGTCATCAAGTATGAATGTTACTGAATGTCAGTTTTATTTTGAGGCTATATAAAGCCATGTATGTTATATTTATAAGCAGAAAATATAGTAAAAGGAGCCTTTGTCATTTCTTTAGCCAATAACTAAGTTTCTTTGCAATTCTATGTAGTTTAGGTTGCATGTAGAATCATTCAAGCTCGACATGATCAATCTTGCTAGTGGAGTGATTCGAATCTCAAACAAGTGTTTGAGATATTTGATCAACAAGAATCATTCAAGCTAGACATGATCAATCTTGTTTGTGGAGTGATTCGAATCTCAATCAAGCGTTCTTCTTGCCTTGAGATATTCGATCAACAAGGTAATCCGAATCTTATTCCCCTTGTATTGATTCCTTATCTTATCAGTTTTTCCTTGTATAATAGTCAAACAAATGTATACGAGCTCATTCATCCATGGACTTCTTAGACAAAACCATCACTTTCGCCTTACTTCACATCAAATCTTTTCATTTGTGTGAGAGTTGTGACGTGTTTGCTGTAATATTACTCTAATAAAAATATTCAATTTGTTACCGAAGAATAAAATATTAATGTCAACTTGAATATTATAACCCAAATAGAACTCAAATTAGGTTATAATATAAAACACAAAAATGTTGGAATTTGTTATATTTTCTAATTTAAATCAATGTATTAGACTTGATGTAACGACCCTAAATTTCTATATACTCAGAGTCACTACTAACGTGTCGTGCTCATGTCTTATGCATAAATATAAGACATCATCTATAATATAAATGTCGAGAACATTTAAAACATCCTATCCTTTCAAAAAAATACTGGCATGGTCTTACAGTCATGGTCCTACCTATTTAAAGTTTGCGAATAGGTCGAGGGTGTTGTGCTCTGATGCCTCTAATCCGATGCCTTTTTTAAAAAATATTTACGTGTTTTATTTGAAAAATAAAAAATCACGTCTATTTTTATATTTCTTTTGAAAAATGAAAAAAAAAACCGAAATTCTTTTTGATCACTTGAAACCTAGATCCGAGCCAACGAGAGACAATAACTCCTTTCGAACATAAAGGTTGGCCTTATCTCATCCCAATATCTCGTACACGGAACGAGTAATTGACCCTCCTAGGAGTTTTATAGGACTATAAAATAAATATTAAATATTATAAAGTTAATATTTAATTTCGAAAAACGGAATTAATAATTTAATATTCACTTCTTTATTAGTTTAAAAGTTAAAATGGATTAAATGATATAGTTTAGCACTGAAAAATTATTAAAATTATATTAATATAGACAAATATAAAAACCATTTATAAATTAAATTTGTAAAATTTTAATTTTATATCAAATAAATATAATTTTATTCTGGAATAAGCATATTTTCAATTTTATTTTTATAGGTGTTACCATTAAAAAAATTAATAAATAATTTTTTTTATACATTATTTAAACGTTATTAAATACTCAATTAAGATCTATTCAATATTTTTTAAAATCAAAATATTTACGCGACATAAACTTTTGTGACATTCATACTAGAAAATTGTAAATTTTTTTTTGGTTAAATTATGAAAGATACTATTAAATTCTGTCTCGTTTTAAAATTACATTTATTCTTTAAAAAGTGGTAATATTATTTATATTTCTTTAATAAATATTTTAAAATTACTATTCCAATACTAATTAATTAGAATATTCATAAAAATTAAATTTAAAAGAATATATATATATATATATATATATATATATATATTATTTTTTATTTTTTTTTGGTGAGAAGAAAGTAATAATTTACTAAAACGTAAATGTAACCATTTAAGGCCTGTTAGGCGTCCAAACTCACACAAGAACGTCACTCTGTCGCAATGCCGCCGTGTATCTCCGATTTCTTGTCGGTCTTCCAAAATTCCGATTTCCACTCGAGAGATTCTCGATCAGTCCAGTCAAATCTCAAAGCTCTTCTTCGTTAACCGTCCATTTGTTGTTTTGTACGATCATAATTTATCGTTTTCTCGTCTTTACTTCACTTCGACTTCACGTTTTTCGCTTTTCACCGGCTGCCGCGAGCTTCCGGCAGCGTCTGTATATGAACTTGGACGACGCTTTTTCCTACTACTTCCGGCTGCTGTTGCTACTTTTTTCTCGCATAATATCATCCAGTGTATCCAGGCAATGTACTTTGATGGTGATGGCCCGCTAGTGCTGGTGGCTTTCTAAGCCTACGCTGTCTTTTCCGAATAAGTATGTCCATATCCATCATCTGCCGGAAAAAATAATTTTGATACCTACTTGATGGTGTTAACTCGTTCTGCACGTGAAGTTAGGGCTTTATACTTGTTCGCTTTTACTCCATTGAGCGGACTATTCAATACTGATTCGGTTATCTTTTGTGCAGTTTGCAGCAATTGTGCATCTGCCTCTCTCTCTTGCGTACATGACTTTCTCAGTCACCGACGCTTCCGATCCGAGTAAGGGACTTCAATGGATGGCTTCGGTCTTTTCTGGCATTGTTTTCTGCAAGATTGTAAGTGTGCATATTTGAACGAGTTGCGAATCATATTGTTATTGTTTGTTTAAAGTAGAGCAACCGACTAGGCTATCCATGATTTCCTCTTCTCTCTCCGAAAAAAAAAAATAGGCAATCCATTACATCTAGTTAGATTTCACTGTCGAGGCTTCTTGCTAGACTGAGGAACAGTTTCCTTGACCTAATTTCCACTGGTTCTTTTAGAAGCTGTTAGTTGATTCAATTACCAATCTCCATTGATTTGTTGTCGTCTCGTCACTACACACGTATATTGATAGAGGTTTATTA